TTATTAGCGTCCTGCCTGAGACTTCTATGCCTGTCTGTGAAGCTTTGAGGATCGAAATGCTCTTGGAGAGTTCTTCCGCAGACATAGAGTACGCAGGCGATATTTCTAGGTCCGTCATAAACAGACTGAACTTTGCCGCGGTTGGATGGTCTGCGTGCGTACGTGATACACTGAATAATAATAAATAATAATCGTTCAGCTGTTGAGGATCGAAATGCTCTTGGAGAGTTCTTCCGCAGACATAGAGTACGCAGGCGATATTTCTAGGTCCGTCATAAACAGACTGAACTTTGCCGCGGTTGGATGGTCTGCGTGCGTACGTGATACACTGAATAATAATAAATAATAATCGTTCAGCTGTAGCGCCCTTTCGGTGCCTAGCTGCCATGCCACCCGAAGGAAGCACGAGGGCTGGGATACTGTCAGGTTGCCCAAGCCTAGACAGGGGAAGTCGAGTGGCGGAGGTCGGGTTCGAACCACGGAGCGGTTGGATGGTCTGCGTGCGTATGTGATACATTGAGTAATGCTGGAGGCTGTATTAGTGTGACACTTACAGGGTCTTTCATACCAGGTTGGTCAATGCTTATAGGTTTGACAAGTTTTAGGGGTTGAGACATGTGTGACGGCTTGTTCTTCAGACAACTGTGGTCTGACGTTTCACGCCAAACACCACAACCTCGCGGACAAGCTTTTGATCTGACGGCCTTGGCAGAGAACCCTAACCGTTCTCTTGTCTATGTGTTGCACCCTGACAGTATCCTAGCCCGAGTACGGCCATGATTCCGACAACTAAAAATAGTGTTATGCTACGTTGGCCCTCGCATGGTGTCAGCCGGATTGCCTGCAGCCGGGTGGGTAAGCGAAATCATGCTATTCTGACGCCTCCCTTCCATCTACTTCACGTATCTTCACCTCTCCTCATCTCAGTAATAATAATGATATCCTTGTAAGTTGATCCGTCAGGGCTGGCAACCCTTCTGGTCTTCTATCGGTCTTGGCCGCAACATCTGCTGGTCACTCAGTGCCGATAGCTTCGGGCATCTCGAATTTGATCTTCAGACCTCGACGACCGGTCTACCTGGCTACCCTTATATTTCGCAGTTTTGCTTGCGCGTTGGATTCGCTTGACATTTGTGTGCTTTGTACCAGAAACAAGAATTCATGCTCCAAGCAATTGAGCTGACTGCCTCACCACTGTCCACTAGCTTCCAGCTGCGATCCAAAGGCTGCTGTGGTAAGAGGGTAGGGGTTGACATCGTCCTTAGTCACTGGGTGGAAGGACCCTTGTCATTTCCGTTGTAAGTCGCTTCCGTGAGGTTCATCTAGCAGCTTCTGTGAAACGGAAAGTCCGTTTATCGTATCTCCTTGTGCCCAAACCGACTGTAGCCTACACCATCAACGAAGTTGTATTGTGCGTTGAGTTGGCCGTTACAGTGGGCTGGTTACCATTCTTTTGCAACACTTGTGTAGATTCTGATCATGCATCTATGTAGAGTCGCTTCTTTCGCATTCCAGGGTCGCGTAAGGGGCGGACCACTAGGTTACCAACTGAGAGGCTGGTTGATCCCGAAATTGAGCAGAGTCATCTTCTGACTCTTCCAACTGCTCCACATAATTCAGGCTGATGAATTCTCAGGCCCAAGTGAAACGGCATGTGCGCCAATCGTGAAGCCCGGTGGACTCGGAGAACTAGGGGGATGTAAGAGGTGCAGCGTTCCGGGAACGCTCGAAGGTTATTTCGGTTGTCCCTCGTGACCGGTTCCCGAAAATACCTGTGAGCAAATCCTAGTGACGCGACCATCGCCATTAAAGCAGGATGCTTTGGCCGCAAGGTCGAGCATTTTGAACAACACTACCGCAATAGAAATTCACTAGAACTACGGACAATAATCCTGAAACCTTTGAAGGCCTCGGACATTTACGACTGTATATATTCTCCACTGTCACCGAGCCCCAGGTCCGGATGACTTGGTAGACTGTAAATCATTGATGTTAAAAAAGCTCTGAATTTTTTTGTATGAACGTCTGTTGTACTATATCAGCTGCAAAAATCCTTCAGCTGTAACACCCTTCCGGTGCCTGACTGCCATGCCCCCAAAGGAAGCACGAGGGCTGAGATACTACCAGGTTGCCGAAGCCTAGACAGGGGAAGTCGAGAGGCAGAGGTCGGGTTCGAACCACGGACCCTCGGGTCATTAACTTCGTGCTCTAACCACTTGAGCCATATCGCCCCATCTGCTGTAGAGGCTTCCACCTGAGCTCTCTACAACCAGTGGTATTAGGCCGAGACTTGATTTCATACTAGTCAGCCTTTCTCAATCTCCGGGGCGAGATGACCCAAGTGGTAAGAGCGCGAATTTACTGACCGGAAGGTCCGAGGTTCGAATCCCACCTCCGCCTCTCGACTTCCCCTGTCTAGGCTTGGGCAACCTGGCAGTATCCCAGCCCTCGTGCTTCCTTCGGGCGGCATGGCAGCTAGGCACCGGAAGAGTGCTACAGCTGAACGCTTTTCCCAATCTCCGTAAACACCTTAGCACCCAGGACCGTGATTCTCTGAGGAAATCGGCACTCATCTTAAATAGTTCAACGATATTGCAGTTCTCGCTTCGGACTCTTCAGCAATGCTAAACTGTTCAGTTCGGCCACGTGGTTCGGCGTGTTGCAACCCGCAACGTTATGTGGGATGAAATCCCAACCCAATCTTGTATTTCAGCAGCTAGTCGAGTTTTTGTTAGTCCTGAGAATCTTTAAAGTAAGCATGACCAAGGCAATATTTTTCAAATTCTGACACCCTTGGTGCGTCGTGACAGCTTGCCTGCAATGTTGCACTGTCCTCAATTTGCTTTTTAGCCTTGAACCTTGATGGATGCCAGAACGTAAGCAAAGGCATCCAGTTTTTTCATTAGCGGGCAGCGGGTAACGGACCAATCCCACGATTAGTGGTTAATGCACACATGGGTGTGTCTATCTTATCGACAGTGAGCCTCTACCTAAGATTGTTGAGACTATTCAGTCGATTCCATGTCTCGCGCCAAATTCACAGTATACTTCCGTTGAAAATGGATTAACCAGCGGATCGGAGTTGGCCAGACCGATAATTAAACCTTCGAAGCGAGAACCTTTTGGCCGTAATTCAGTTTTTTCTCGCTGGTAACTGTTTACGTTTGTGTACGTTGCTTGTAGGCAAACTAACGTATCCCTTCATCGCTTAGTCCAAATTACGCTTCTGGTCATGCAGCAGAGATTCGAGGTATTCACAAAGCCGACTCTCACAGGAAGAAACCGCTTTTGAGTAACTCCAGAATAATATCGCTTTGGAACTGAGCATCGAGACACCTGTAATTTGAGAGAGCAATTCAATGTGCTATTCAACTTGCTTAGTATCCAGTCACCCAATACGACAATTGAACCAAACACACCAAATCCCACAAAACGTAGGATTTCGGTCATAGTTTAGTTTGATTTGAGTGTATAACGTTATGCTGCGGACGCGTTTAACAAAACAATTTGTTGCCTCATTAACCAAACACTAGTGGCGAAATCCGTCAGTGGATGTTTATGAAGGCATGGTAAAGGGATGGTAAATTCCATACCGACCCATTCCATCCTTAGTGGCTTCTTATAAGGCATCATGCTTTGACCATTATTCTTCACTCTTTTAACCTGCGTCTCTCCTGATGTAAACTGCGGAATTTAGGCGACTCACTAAGGACAAAAGACGGGACGAGGACTCCGATCGCAAACCTTAGGCCGCTTTCTCTTGGAACGTATTATTTGAAGAAGTTGTAAGCACAGAGGCATCAAATTTTCTTGTTCTTGGATCTTCCTGGGACGTGCTACGTCCAAATACCGTGTTGAAAATGAAAGCAGCTCGCAAGTTTTCCGCCGTGTTTGCTAATTTGCATCTAGCCAGTGGAATAGTTTATCACAACACATAAAAGGGGTCCAGTGCGAGCCATTATGGAACGCTTTGTTCAGTATTTACGAGTTGGGTCCTCTACAAAATATTGATAGTGGGTATTCTGGAACTCCAATTTCTGTAAGTGGGAGTCAGTGAATTTGTGATGCAACCAGTGGTTTATTTAAATGCTTCTCTGGAGTTGTATAGCAGCATGCACCAAGACGGTTCCTCAGTTGATCAGTTCTTTGCTACGTTGACTGTGGTACTGGTAACTAATCAGGTCTATAATCAAATCAGGGTTTTACTGACACGTTTTCTACCGTTTTGAATCAAGGGAGAGTAAGAGACATGTATGAAAACCGAAAAGCAGATTATCACAAAATAATGAGCCCGCTAAAACCCACGATGGAGGTGGGCTTATTTGCTGGTAATTTGCATGTTGGGTTTTGCCGGACGCGGAATAATGTTGTGGATTGTCTGAACGAGTGAACTCTTCGCAGCTTTCCCTGCTGGAGGAGAACTACCATACCGACTAACTCGTCCTTTGTAGTAGTTCGGAAGGACAACCACTTGGATATAAAACCTTTCGGACGTTTCTGCTACCCCCTCTCGGAAGGGCGTCCGTTCCGCATCTTTGGCCCTTCAAGCTTTTTTACAGCAGCTTCCGACGCATGTTTTTTTCTGGAATCATCGGGATACACTGTGTTTCGATGTTTTTCCCCGTTGGTATTTTTTATCATGAGCCGTGAGATTAGGTTCCGTAGGATTTGTTTTCCTCAACTAACGAAGGTTTTGTATTTTAGCCGGTAAAGGAGAGTGTATTAAGCTGTCTAGAAGTGTTATCTGAACAGCCTGCTTGTTTCTGTTCATCTGCGTAGTCTTCTGTAGAAGAAGTCGTCCATTTGATACTTAGCTCTCATGCAGTCCGAAGGTAGGAACAATCCACTCTTTTTTGAACGGGCCTCTCGGTCTGGAACTCGTACTCCAACCAACAAGCAGTTTCGGTATATTTTACCGCTTCAATCATCCAACTGTAGTGTTTTCTGGTTTACCGCCTTGCTCCGATCCCGACAAATTGATTTTCTCCCGCTTTTTTTCAGACAAAGATATATTACTGACCATCCATGATTTCGGCTAACAGGTGGCATGTGGGACTCTTGTTGATTTGCTACATCTATCTCGGTAAACCTTTAATCCGAAAATAATCCAATTCTACACTGCTAGAAACCGCCTCTGTCCTCGCAAGAACTGGGGAACACTTTGTTCAGTTCATTCCCACGCCCGGGGTGGTATCCGATCGGTTCTATTACGAATCGCCCGGGTCGGTACACCCTATAGAAGTGGATGCGTCGACAACACAGCAAGTTCGTATTCGGATTGTGGACTTTTTGAACAATAATCCCGAGTTGAAGATACATTGCCACGTGGCCCCATTGAGTCCGGATTCGGAATTGACTTCGGCGTTTTTGTGTCGAAAGGTGAGGCACCCGTTTCATTTTTTTACGCGAATGAGATCATTGTATATTTCCGATCGTTGGTGTTTTGGCTGAGCCAGACATTCTAGTTGCAAACGTTTTTCACCAAACTAGCTGAAATCATCCATTTGTGTATCGTTCTGTAGCTAGGTGCAGCGTGTTTCGGTGAATGTTAACGTACAAACCAGCTACCATCCATACCACCTGTGCTACCTTGAAACTAAGTGAAAAGGCATTTTTCTTCCCTTCTTCTTGCTTGGTTCTCGATATTTAAGGACAGTATTTTTCAGTGAATATGTCGAATTCCACATCCACAACAGTAAGTCAGTCAGGCCACGTTACTGTCGTTAGAATTCACTTAGTAGTTGATGATGCCTGGAAACCACTATGTTGATAGAATTGCCTGTTATTTTAAGTTTTTGAAGGTAGGAACACGAGGTGGACGTTTGAATCCCCGACAATTCGTTGATCTCCTCAACACTGCTGATTAGACTCACATACCTGTGCCGAACTGATGGAAAAAGAAATCATTTTGCAGCTCGTTGACACTTGATTGCGTTCAATAACACGGATGAGCTGATACATGATAACTGATCTCAAACCAACTGCTTTCTGAAAACGATTATTGGGGATGGCCAAAATGTTTCGGTTGACGGACGTCCCATGTAACCGTTCGCATTGTCCCTATCGATCGTCAAGGTACTCCTGGACAATCTGTAACCATTGAGGTTTGCCTACCTAAATGAGACTCGGCTGATGCTCTCTTATTGGTAGCTTTGATTCCGCAAATTAATCGCTTCAGCCGATTCATAAAACTTTTAATAAGTGTGATCCTAACGTGATCACCTGGTTTGGTAGCCTTTCGTTTGTGAATCGAGCTTTCGGATTAATGGATGAATTAGATGGTTACGCATCGTAGTTTTCAGGCTATTTAGGCCCTTTGATGACTCAGGCGATGGGATAACTGTTGTTTGAGTAGACCAACCAGTTGACCATGTAAAATTATTCGTTCACGTGGTAATCAGGTGATAATTTGCCCCCCGTATCAGCTTGTTGTGTACCGACCGCGAAGCTCGTGAAAACCTTTAGACCGCTCATTCCTGCACCCGATTACACCTCTTCGCGGCAGAACAAACGGTGGAATATGACTAGTATGTCTTTGATGTGGACTTCGAATTCTGTGTGGCACACCAGTTCTAGTTCTGATGACGTTGCGGTCATTTATCTGCGGTTAAGCGTTAAGCATTGAAGAAAAGATCAGTTCATCTGTTTCGGGTTTGTCGGCACTCTGGTACTCACCTTCACCAAATGGAGGCGTGTGAATCACACTGCGTCAGCCTAATAGGGCCAGGTTTGGTTCAGTCTTATGCACCGTACGTTGTCAGTTCATTGTCCGGCTGATCATAAATACTCGTCGGGCTAGTCAATACTAGTATTCTGAGCCTAATATTTCTTTCTTATAGTTTCAGAAGTGTTGATTTAGCGTTGTTTGTTTGTCGCTTACTGGTTTTCTCGTGCCATCAAGCATGTCATTTTGTTACCATCCAACAGACTTCTGTTACGGCCAATAGTCTTTGTGTGGACCCGAAGACGCAAACTCCGCAATGGGGTGAAATCGCTTTCAATGCCATCGGAAATCGCTCTCACGGTACGTCACGTTTTTTGTTAAACCGTCTATTCTCTCCACAAATCTAGGCTACACGTTCCATGCAGAACTTTCACGGTACGTCACGTTTTCCGTTAAACCGTCTATTCTCTCCACAAATCTAGGCTACACGTTCCATGCAGAACTTCTAGTCGGCCGAGTGCTTTTGGATGCGTTCTATTTCTGCAAATTTCGTAACACCTGGGGTGAACTCAAGTCGAATATGGTCGAGGTTCAGGATGTGTACTACTATCAAATAGGTAAGTGGTGACGTGTTTGCTGAATAAATTTTGAATGCCCGTCTTTACCATGGGGTTATTAGCCCATTTCAGTGTTTTTGCGGTAACTAATAATTGGGGAAGGATACTTTACACAACCAGGCACACCGACTAAGCACAACAGATGGATTTATGGTTTTAAGTGACATAATTGTTTCGTTCACATAAGTTCGCGCGGCGCCGGGACTGGACTGACCACTTGCCAGTGTTAGATAACTTGAGGGTAACTCATAAAGGAACTTCTTTGCAGCTGTGAGTGGTTACGATGAAACGATAACAATCCTACTGATTTGCTCATTTTTTGTTTCCAGTCAGAATTGGATCGATTGAAACAGAAAATTGACAGAAATAATAAAAACACTCATTCCTATAACTAATCAGGCTAGTTGCAAACGCTTCAGCACTAACTGAGGTGACAACATGTATGGGTATTTGTTTGGCAGAGTGGACCCGTGCGTCAGTGGATGTGTTGACTGTTGGCGTGCATTCGTTTCACACGCACTACTTGCCGGGACTGGCCATCGATTACAATGGGTTGTTTGCTTAACTGGCTCAGCTGGTTGGCGCGCTAGTCTATGCTGTCAGCATCATCATCAGTGTAAGATACGAGCGGCTAAGGACTTTACAGGATGATTTGGAGTTATCAGACTATATGCAGTTTGTTTTCAGTAGGAGGTAGGACCAGAGAGGATAAGAGCAGTAGATGCTGCATTTTCTGTTTTTTTTATATGGGCAAATATGCTAATATACATCACGAATTAAGCAGAACGTACGATCAACAATGGCACAATGAGTAAAAGCAGAATAAAGGAGCAATTAGGCGGATGAGGTTTGGATACCGGCAGTCGGATAGTGTAAGTAGACTGTATGCAGATATAACGCCGCAGAAAATAGTCAGTTCGTTCGGCGAGTAACGGAAACTGTGTGGAAAACGGGCATCGGGTGAATTTTGCACATGAATAAACCTGCATTCATTGGCTATCGACATGATGAATCACCACGTATCGAATCGGAATGTGCTCGTAGGTCCGTCTAAGACGAAATTCGAACAACCGCTACAAGTCAAGGTACAATACAAAGGTAATACAAAAATAAGTTTTCCGACGAAGTCGAGTTGGCGCAACCGGATAGCGCACTCCGAGTTCGACCCCGGATGACTTGCTTTTCCGTCGAAGCAGAAACTCGTAAATGGATAGAGTTGATACATAACTGCAAAACAAGAGGGATATGAGACAAAATCTCGACCAGACAGTAAGCGAGATGGTCCCAGTGGTTAGAGCGCGAATTTACTGACCGGAAGGTTCGTGGTTCGAATCCGACCTCCGCCACTCGACTTCCCCTGTCTAGGCTTGGGCAACCTGGCAGTATCCCAGCCCTCGTGCTTCCTTCGGGTGGCATGGCAGCCAGGCACCGAAAGGATGCTACAGCTGAACGCTTTTTTAAGCAGATCTTGAGCGGAAGTGGCAAGGGAGCAAAAGGCGTTGTAAAGGCGTTAATATGAACAGATATAAGGCACACTGCTTATGAGTAGTCTAACAAGTAGGAAGAATAAGCGCAGGAATCAACAGTCATCATTGAGAAAAACGCGTGTACTTAGGCTGGGATCGCATCCAAAGCCTTTGCCTAAAATCTTAGCCTCTAGGCATCTGTCGTTGACGTGAGATCGCTGTGGGTGTCCAGAATCCCTACGTAAAGGATCAGGTGGCTATTTTATCCAGTTCTTTACCCGTTGACCAACCTGGTATAAGAGGCTTTGTGAGTGTCGCAAGTACACCCTACAGTATAGATCGATAAATGATGGTGGTGCACGAACCGTCGTGCCACGATCAGGTTCAGTCTCTTCGTGATGGAGATGCATGTTGTGGCCGATCGAAATTCACATTAACTACCACCATTTCCACCGTATGTTCGTTGTTCAAGTGAGCGCTGAAAGATTTATTTCCTGTGCTGTTATCGCAACTTCTGCCATGGCGCATCACATCCTTGGTCCTGAATAGTAAAAAAAGTCAAGAATTCAGGAGACCGTGAACGAGCAAGTGAATGGCTGATCCACTTCAGGCAGGTTGTTTCAGGTAAATTGAGTTCGAGTGTGACTTAATGAATAGCTGCTGCTCTACTAGCTTTGCAAATTGGCGCGTATAGTTTCGTCATTTTTTGACAAAGAAAACTTTCAATCCAGCGTACTAGGCATAATGCAAAATGTGGATTGGTTAGGGACTGTTCACAGTATCCATCGGGCTACTTGCAGTCCGTTCTGCGAATAATTCAGGAGACCGTGAACGAGCAAGTGAAAGGGGCTCGAGTTAAATGACAGTATCAATACGATGAAAGCGAACAGGCAGACCAGGTGTGCTTCATGGTGTACATTCATCCCTTCTAAAATGATAATCCCGGGGATTACAATGTTCCTTGTCTGGGATGGTCTCTAACAGGAGGAGACATATTTTCTATAAGAATTGGGAGGTCCCCTGTGATTATGTTGTTGGTTTTTTGCCTGTGTCAATCTATCCATCCATCTGTCACTTCTTAGTGAATACAATGACGTCCCCACACAATTGTCACATGATTAGGTAGTAATTGTAGCTCTTCGAAAGATGGATATTTTTTTAAAAGCCTTGTTACGATGACACCAACCATACTTTGTTTTCCTTTCTACCTCTAAGCAATGGTTAAACGTGACGCGGAGAAACCTCAGTATCTTCCAACGATCAAAGCACCGGATCTCCCGATGCGACTAGATTGCGGCACACGACGATGGTCTGAAAAGGATTTGCCCACCTGGGCAGACCATAGTTTCCCGAGCCCATTTCTTTGGTCATTTTGTGAGGTTTCTGGTGCAGATGGTTATACGGACTATCAGTGTATGAACAAGGTGCGAAAACATCCGATTGGCGTTTCGGACTACTTTGAACATGTGGTCTACCCAAATGGTACGTGGTCTATCTTCTCCCTTTTTGTCGATCAGCGGTTCCCAAAATTTCAGGCATATTGCCTCATAGATCTGAATGAACGACTAATTGCCCTTTTCATTTTAATGGTATTACATGTACGGTAAAGCCAGAGGGTAGACTCCATGAAACCTGTACATTAAAAAGTAACTAATAATAATAATGATAATAATAATAATGAGTTTAGGAGAGTTTCGCGGATTGGAACCAAACTATAGATACCGGGCGGACGGCCACTCAGAAAAAACTGAAGATCTCCATTTTCAGACACTTAGAAAGGATCGTATAGATCAATTCAATTTATCAGCTATGAACCGTGTGTCATAGGCACCTGGGTTCCAGCTGCCACAGTTTCGATCACCGGAAAACAGGAGATCGGAACATACAACCAAGCCTTGGAGGCGAAGGTATGTTCAGTTTATTCGGAAATTGGGTAGCTACGCATTGAAGGCGCTAGCTTTGGTGCACGAGCGCCACTGAGTGCGTGATTGGGCCATTTCCGCCACTGTCATTAAACACTGGTGATTTGAGTCCCGGGGCCCCCCATCCAGGGAGGTGGCAATTGCCCACCCGACTAAGTTTACTGGTTCGTGTTTTCGTACTTGGTTGCCACGTCATACACTGTCCTCCTAATCGATTCCACTCAGTACAAGGCTGGGAAAAAGAGCTCTGGAGGCAGTCGGTCTTCTGGCATGTCTCCAATGACTCAATGATTTTTTCAACAATTCGAGATAGCCTCCATTTATTCGTTTTTATGGCGTTTTGTGCCGTCATCAGTTTTGATGTGTTGACAGTGCACTAAAAAGTTATCAGTCATTGTTGGCTGGTTTGTATTCTAATGGGGTACAATTTGCTTAAAAAAATCCACCCTAACCAGACGAACTTTGTAGGTAAATCTACCCTACAGACGTTGACTGTGCAGCGGGTGTATCGCGATATTATAACAAATTCATTAGTAGCAAACGTATGTTTACGCACATCCAAAAACTTCGATCGCCAGATAGGACGAAGGTGAACGTGTCTTGCATTGCAGTCCAATAGTTGATGGCTATTTGGGTGGTGTGCAAGTGACAACTCGAATTGACGTTTTGATAGACAGAGAAAATCAAGCATACCGATTGTTTCCAAGTGCACACGATGATGAACATCCCTATCGCTGTTCATCACTTCCTTCCACTTCCACCGTTGAAGAAGCCTGATTTGCTCCGTAAATGGAGAGATGGTGTAATGCTCCCTCCCATATTTTGTCCAAGCAAACAAATTCAGTTTTAAAACGCTCTGCGAGTCTTATCGCTCACGTAACTACAGATTGCCTAGCTCTACTAAGTGGGACTCGAGCAAGTATTCACAAACGGCTTATCGAAAAATGAAATATAACACCTGAATCTTGCTTCCATACCTTCTTGAGACGGATATTCAGTGTGCTTAGGATTGCTTCGAAGTTGGCTTTTTGATAATACCCCCACAAGTCAAATATGGTAACTTAGCAAGAGAGGCAATTTGTTGTGTCTTGCTGTACGGTGGCGCAACTCTGTATCGGTACCTTGGTTTCCTGCTCTGCCCACTATGGTATATCAAAAGGCACGGTAGCTCTACACAGCCCTTAATGGAGATAAAGAAAAATTTATACCATAGTCACAGAGTGTTCCACAAGGTCATGCTAGAATCTCCGTGAGGGGGCGAGAAGCGTCGAGTCAGAGATCTTCGGTCCGGACTGGCTGGTATTCTGACCAATCAGGGCATGCCTTCGTTTGGTCCATGTCCTACACGTGACACATCCATCCAAATGATGCAATGTTCGGTTGTTAGGGTCGGCTGCCCTCCGGACACAATTTGGCGTGGCACGTTGGATAAGGGTTGTTTAGGTTCGGCGGTGGCACATCGCCAGACAGGACCTCCATCCCACACCGTCTTATCGGCCATTCCGCTCAGTTGCACACCAGAATGCTTGCGTAGGTTTTTGAAAACGATCACCACAGGAGCTACAGACTGGCAGCGGTTCGCATGCGGCGAATCAGTCGTTTAAGGTGCTGAGTAACATGGCTTATCTCATATCCGTTCCGACAATCCTATCCAAGCCAGTTGTCCTTTCACCAAGTTGTATCCCTGATTTTCCAAAACTAGAACTAGGGTATCGACCATCTCAGCAGTTGGATTTTGGCGTTCCCAAAGTGCAGTTCAAAATATCCATTTATATACCTATATATATATATATATATAATATCCATTTATATGATCGGTTTTGACCATTTACACGCAAGGAGTATGTTTGAGCTAAAAGTGAGAGCACTTTGTCTGTCTGAAACCAGGAACAGATAATACGTCCCATTCGGGAACAGTGAACTCATCAGTCATAGAAAAAATAGTTCAGCTCTAACACCCTTCTGGTGCCTAGCTGCCATGCCAGCCGAAGGAAGCACGAGGGCTGGGATACTGCCAGGTTGCCCAAGCCTAGACAGGAGAAGTCGAGAGGCAGAGGTCGGATTCGAACCACGGACCTTCCACTCAGTAAATTCGCGCTCTAACCACTTGAGCAATCTCAGTCATAGACATTCTTGTGGTGTCCCTTGCATCCTTCTTGTTCGCCAGCATTTTTGACGGCACCCTGTCCAAATGCGAAAAATCCATGACAGATTTGATCTGGAAGGATTAATGCAATCCTGCCCGTTCTCGTCAGCCATGTGTCGTTACTTGCGTCTGCACTACACCATCGTACCACAAGTGAAGTTGGCAATTTCCTTCGTGTATCCCTACTTCATTAGTTGTCTTCACAAATGTTGTTTCTCCGTCCGACGTTGACCAGCGCAATCCCACTGATGTATCGGTTGCTCGTTGGGTCGTTTAGTCGGGCTCGTTGGGGTCAGAAAATCATTGCTACTTTGTACGAACGTGTTACAATTCTGCTTGCGTGTTGTACGAGGACCTTGTATCTGTCGTTGTCGCTTTTACACGCGTGACATGTTTTATGATACCGCCTCGACACATGTCTCTCTTAAGTCACGATATCCTTTCTGTCTCTTAGTTTCACCCCCTAGAAATGCGAAGTTTACCGGTTACCGACTACCGGAAACACTGTATGGATTGATGGTCGATTTTGATGGGATGTGCCAACTTTTGACCAGTGCGAATATACAGATAACACTAATAGCACTAATAATAATTAATACATGTAATAACGCTGTGAACCGAAGTGATTTGTAACATTTCCCTCTGATACCTGTTCGAAGAGTTCCGAATAAAAAGACCAGACACCCTTGCCAAGAGTTTGGAGTAGTTTGGTGCTCAGCTCATGAACTACTGAGCAGTAGATCCGTCTGTCTTCTCTAGACTTGAGCTATCCAGCGGTGCCTCAACCAACCTGCTCCTTTAGGTTTGGTGACGGCTCTTCACCCTATTTTTCTATTCGATCCTAGAAGATCCCATTTTCTGGGATCGGTCACAATTGTTTTTAAAGAATCATGTTCTTGGTTTGCCGACTGGACGCTGTTCTCCGAAGGAGCTCAAGATAGCTCATTGAATGTGAACTTATTGACCGGAAGGTCTGCGGTTACAACTCAACCTCAACATCTCGACTACTTCCTCCTAGGCTTGGGCAACCAGGAACTATCTCAGTTCTCGAGCTCTCTTCGGGTGACGTGGCAGCTATGTAACAAAAGAGTTTTATAGATGAACGATACTACTACCCTGTCTAGGCTTGGGCAACCTGGCAGTATCTCAGCCCTCGTGCCTCCTTGGGGTTGCATGGCAGCTAGGCACCGAAAGGGTATTACAGCTGAACGATTTATTTTTCATTTTTATATTCTCTAGAAAAACGAACATACAATACATCTGAGGTGATCGCAACAACAGCTGTCTTGTAACGGTATCGAGCAGCGAATACATTCGAATGTCCTCCCCTTCTTGCGCAACACAATTATTGTTGTGTATGAGTACTATAGATATCGATACTCACGCCACTCTCGTCTGAACAGTCCCCCTCGTACTCCAACACGACTATTCCGGTTAGTCCAGATTAAAGTGGATTTTCTTTCTACTGGAGCTCATTGTGTACATTCTTGACCGGATTCGAACCCAGGACAGTTGCAGACCGGCAGGTTATCAGCACTGTACCTTAAATATCACGTCCGAACGGGTGCAGAAGGTGTTTCTGTGATTCTGCCGGATGTTCGATTAGCTTTATAAGACTGATTTGACTGTTTGACGGATTCATTGCCCCTCTTCCTTGTACTAATTAGGCCAGACACTATCTCTTTGTCAAACAGCCAATTACCTCGCAACCCACTTTTCTACGGCTTTCTGCGGTACGGCAGCCTTACCATGGTAGTGAGATCACAACTTAATAAACAATGGGAATCCTAATCGGTTGCGTTGGTGAATTCCATCTTCCTGGATGGCACACGTGTCAAGTCGTACATGAGTTGTCCAATGACGCAATGTCCTTGTGTTGTCGTGATGGATAGTCGGGTGGTTTGACATTGCCAATGATAGCTAGTTAGACGATCACATTCGATGCATGGCTATTCACTAATTACTATCCTTGATGAAGAAGTGTATTCTAAAACCATGTTTAGCTGTGACACCCTTCCGGGACACAGCTGTTGTGCATCCGGAATGAAGTGTATGCTATGAGATACTACCGGGCTGTCCAAGCGTAGATCGAAACAAGCCAGATATCTACAAGGACTTTCAACTCTCCACTCGGAAGCTCGTGGCTTAGATCTCAACCTGTGATGTGTTGAGAACACCGTCTATAGCTTATGAACGCGATCAACTTGAACCGAATTTCTTCGCTCAACTTCTGTGCACAACCTCATCGTTGGTTTTCTTTTGGATGGAAGAGTCAAAGGCAAAGAATCCAGCGAAAGCAGCATCACATACCTTCATGGTACGGACTCCGCAGCGGTTATCGTCGGTTAATGATTACTCAGAAGTTCGCTACTTCCCCGGTTAACTAACCGCGCCACGAAACTACAGTATATTAT